CAGGCATATTACAGAACTCTCATTGAAACTTTGAAGGCTATAAATTGGTGGCATCTGGTCTTGTTTATTATATTTAAACCTTACAAAGGCTTTTTCTTCTTTGGTGATGAATCATTGATTATGTAATTACCATTCATACTAAATTTTCGTATTTACCTGTGAAGTGGCAATGGTTGTTACATGGATTCAGGAGATTGAGTCTGATATCCACTAAGGGGCAATTATCTGCTTTTGAGGGGGGGAAAAGGACATCCAATAACAGATGCCTGACCTCACGTGACTCCTTTGTTTCTTGAAGTAGTGAAGAAATTAACTAATTAATTTCTACCGGCTAATTGCTGATCAATAAACTTGTGCAGATACTGGCGTCAGTACTGATATTTGGACTTCCTATGCTGCATGGATAATGGCTGTATCTGTTATACCATTTATTGTTGTTCAACTACCGCAAATTCTCAATTCAACTTCAGCAAGGAACTTAGCTGTCTTGATTGCACTTATTTTGTCTCTTGCAATGCTGGTTTCTTACTGTCTTTATCAGGTAATTTTAGTTTTTTAGCAATATTTTCACCATCGTGCATTATTATGAATAGGAAAATGATTGGTATATCTTTTAGTCCAACGGATCTTTGGATACCTACTCGGTTCAGCCATTATATGATATAAGTATAACTAATTTAGCTAGTTCCTATATACTATATACATGATTGCATCTTTAAGTTTCTCTTCCTTTAATTTTAGATCAAGAAATAATGATTCTTTATTGAGTGTATTGTACAATATGTTAAATCGGATGGTGTATCAATTATTGTCTGAATATCCCTTTCTTTCTCCACTAATTACTTGAAACTGCCTCTTAGTACTCTTATTCTGGCAATACTGGTAGAAGGAAACTGGAATGATGTCTTTGACCAAATTAAGTTCTTTACACTGCAAATTTTCTGTTTCTAAGGATTTCTGTTGGTTAACATGTTGGGTGACGGGTGGGAATGTGTTGTTGATCTTTAGGCATAATAAAAGGTCTTTTAGTATTTTGGTCAATGGACAGGCCAAGTAAATTACCTCCATTAGTCTGAAATAGTATTCAATATTCAGGATAAGGAAGCTTGTTTTACTTTTATGATTAGCATATCAGGTGAATAGAGCTTTTCAGACATTGTGATTCCTTTGGTAAGGAAGCTGATGCAAACGAATCTTTTGAAGTGAATAGGCTGCTAGTCCTAGAATTTTTCTTCCATTTCCCTGGTTATATATGGTTTCTTTAGGCCTTCTTTTATTGATGCTTGTCTCTTCTTTGATATTATGTGTTGTGCAGGTCTTTCAGCCTTGGATCCAGAAGAGACGACTTGCCTATGCAAAACACAAGCATGTGATATCAGGAATCCTCATGAACCTGAAAGTCTGAAACAGCGTGCTCTAGGAAAGCTTCTGACTGATGAAGGAGAACCCAATGTGGAAGTCATAAAAAAGTCAGTTTTGCAGCTTGGCATTGAAGAGAAAGCAATTTCTATCTTTATGATTTCTTCTTTGTACAGCTTAATCAAGTACTCAAGTTGCTAATTTCCTATTCGACTCTATGACAGGTTGTTTCATACAATTGATGAGAATCATGATCGGCTTCTTTCAGCTGGTGAATTAAGAGCACTGATTGTAGGAATTCGGTTTGAGGAGATAGATTTGGATAAGGATGATGCTGCGATTAAAGTTTTGAAGGATTTTGATACCTCCAATGACTACTTCATGAGTGAGGATGAGTTTCTAGTGGGTATCTCAAAGTGGCTTAATGAGGCAAAGCGTGTTGTGGGATATTCACCTGATTCTGGTCCCCAAACATTTAAATTTATACAAGATTTTCACCTGGTAAGTTGAAAACTGATGACTTATCTGGGAACGTCTGCCGCTATCCCTGACAACTTCTATTTCATCTGCAGCAAACTGGGAGAGAGCATCGCCTGTTGGGTGCAGATGGGGAACAAAGTGATGAGGTTGTTGAGAGTGTTGAAAATCCTAGGTGGAACTCCTTCAAAGCTGTACTAATGCTGTTGCTGGGAACGCTTATTGCTGTGGCTTTTGCTGATCCCCTGGTTGATGCCATCGATAATTTTTCAGATGCAACGAGCATCCCAACATTCTTCGTCTCTTTTATTGTATTGCCATTGGTCACCTCTAGTGAAGCTGTATCTGGCATTATTTTTGCTAGTCGTAAAAGCCAGAGGACAACCTCCTTGACATTCTCTATGGTTTGCTTCTTTAGCTAATCGATTATTTAATTAGTTTTCTTACACTATCCATTATTTGTCAAATGCAGTTAAGTGTTGCCATAAAATCTCATTTCCAACTTTCTTGATGCAGATTTACGGGGCAGTAACTATGAACAACGTCCTTTCGCTGTCAGTTTTCTTAGCACTGGTTTATGTGAGGGGATTGACATGGGACTTCTCATCTGAGGTGCTGATAATTCTTATTGTTTGCCTTGTTATGGGAGCCTTTGCCAGTTTCCGCACCACATTCCCTCTATGGACAAGTTTAGTGGCTTTTATTCTCTACCCTTTCTCCCTGGCGCTGGTTTGTGTTCTGGATTACGTCTTTGGTTGGTCATAAACTCATGATTCTTGAACAATTAAAGATTAGCTTGGGGAGGTAAGTGAATGTCTAGAACTTTGCGGCTTTTACCACGTATCACCTTTATAATTTCTGCAGATTGAAAAAAAAAAACAAAAAAACTTTACAATTTCTGTTGTACTATTATTATCAGAACTTTATCTATTTTGATGGGTGTGGTTATAATCCTACACCATAATGTTAAGTTTATATAATTTTATTTAATATTTTATTGTTAAAAATAATTAATAATTATTATTTAGTAAATTAAAGTTAATTTGTAAATTGATATTTTTAGACATCTTAATTAGCTAATATAATACTAGTCAACTGCAAATCCAAAAAAAAAAGAGTACTAGTCAACTAAATAACATCTATTTGGCCTTAACAAAATGGTGTGCCCATAATCACTGGAATAATTGTGGCCACATAACAAATTGTTGGGGCCATGCACCCTTTAAATTCTATTTTTAAAATTTTAATTTT